ACTACTGGTAGTAGTAAGACTTCTAATACTATGTTGGAGGTGGGCTCATCTTCGGGGTCAAAAATTCTTTCCTTGCCCGAGGCAGGGACGGTGGTTCCTCCTTATGAGCATCCCCATCATCTTTTGGGCCTATCAGCCCCCTTGGTTCCTCCAGGGGTGAGCCTAGAAGGTTATTCAAAATGGTTGTCGGATGCTATTCATGAGATGTCAGGGCGGGCAGCGAGTTGCTCTTCCTCGTTAGGGTATTTGATATCTACTCCTAATAACGAGAGCGCGGGAGAGGTGAACTCCATCCTTTCTCCTGCGCCCGAGCCAGCAGCCCGAACACGGGTTACCGCGTCTATAGCTGCTCCACCAACTACGTTGGTAGAACAAGATTCACTACTCCTCGTGTATTCAAAACCAAGGATATTTCAATCTATACGAAACCATCCTTTCCCTAAAAGGTCGAATTCTCAATAAAATGGATGAACTAGATGGGAGAGGGGACTGGCTGCAGGAGGGGGGAATGGATTCTAAACAAAAAGAAGAATCAATTTTCAAAAAAGAAACTTGTTGAAATACTAAATTGTCTCGAGAAGCATGGCCGCTCTAGTCCATTCTTTATCTCCATTGTTGAGAAAAAGGATAGAGAACTTTACTAGATGGTAGTTAATGTCGGAGGAGGAAGCCTTTTTTTTTTGGTATGCCGCTCCGCGAGCAAGGAGCGTCGCGTGTAGAGCAAGAGAACGAAGTGCACGTAATTAAAGAGATTAGATAAACATGATCAGCATGTGAAACATGTTGTGCGCGGAAGCCACCAATCGTTGTGCTTCGAGGAACCAAACATAAACGCCGAGCGAGAAAGCCAAACAATGCAAAATAATGGCACAAACACAAACAACTAATTTTTTATGTGGTTCGGCAAGTTTCCTACGTCCACGAGGTAAGAAGGGGATGAGGTTTTCACTAATAAAGAAGAAGAGTACAAACTGAGATTACAAATCACTCAAACTCACCAATTAATCTCACCAACAAAGCTCTTAATCTCTTAAACAAAATCCTAACCAATAGCTCCAGAAAATACATCTTTTCTGTGCTCAAAATATCCCCTTGGCTGCTCCTAAAAAACCTAAACATGGTTGTTATTTATATCAAACAACAATCCCAAACAGAACATGAAACTGCAATCAGGCCCAAACCCGAATTGCGTCCGATCGCACTTGACGCCGCGGTAGACCGGACAGAACAACAGAATCCAAAACTCAATTACAGTGTCTGGCGGTCGATCGCTGGAATCATCACGGTCGACCGACCAAAAATCCAGAATCTTTCCTTAGTCGTGCATGTTGCCGGTCGACCGTGCCAAAGCTCGCGATCGCCCGGAGAGCACCCGAATGTCTGTCAGCTCCATTTTTCCTAATCTTCTCCAATGTTTTCGTCATTTCTACAATTCTCCACCCCAGCAAAGTTTTCCCAAAACTGAGCCAATACCAACCAAACCAAATGCCTCACTTGTTGTGTCCACTACGAAGTGAAATAAATTCACGACAGCGGACTCAATCCACAACAAGTCGAGACCTAAATGAGAATGCGAACAAACTCTAAATGTCGGTATCAACTCACCAAACTGGCTGTATCGTAAATGACTGCCTACGTATCCTCTTGCCCAAGGATTCAAGCATTCACGTAGTTCACCCAAATAGCCTCCAAAGGTCCTCAATCCAATCCAATAGAAGAGTTATCAACTCTTCACCAACAAATCTGCGACTGGTAGCTCTCCGAATGGCCCCAAAGTGAAACAAACCAAACACCTTCACCTGAGGTGAACCAACAAGGTGATATCTAAATCCAAACTATGTCACCAGCTACACTCGAAACAACCAACTCATCATCTGCATCCACATCAATATGATCCCCAAACTGTGTCACCTCAGCTGGAATCTCAGACGATACAGTATGATCTGGAGTACATGGAGTAATCTCTACCCAACGTGGAGTAGCATCATCTCCACCTGCTGTGATATCCTAACGATCTGTCCAATACTCTCCACTTGCCAAGAGTCAAATGTGACATACCTGTTCAGAACAAAATCAGAAGCCAATACCTAATAACCAATCACGCCTCTGAATCCCAAATGTGCACTCGGATCAAATTTCACTTCCTCGATGTAACAATATGCTGGACAACCAAACATCTGAAGTGTCCTAAAATCTGAAGCAGCTCTATCAGATCCAAAATCCCTAAACGCAGCAGTCGACAACCTATGACTAAGATGACCCAAATATGTCGAAGCCCGAACACCAAAATCAATGCTCGACATCAAACGTCGATCCTCCTCCAGTAAGGAACGACCCATCAAAACTGTCACTTCATCTTGTCGCCCCAATGTTTCCTCTCTAATGAAGTGCCTCAAACTACCATGAGCTCAGTACAAATGCAGAAAAGAACCCCTACCAAAAATAGAACGTCGTGTTACCTTTCCGCCAATACACTTCCTCCACCTGTTGTTGACTTCTAGGACTTCATACCAACGGGACTTGATTGCAACCCACAAATGCCTAGAACAATCCCCAACATAGAAAATCAAATACCGATTACCTCCTAATAATGCCTCCTTAGATGGCCCCCAAATGCCTAAATGAACATCACCTAGAAGACCCTTTGCTCAGTGAATAGAAGTGTCAAACTCCACATCGGTCTTCTTGCTCATACTAATGTGCTCACAGGACTTCAAATTGCAGGTCAAAGCACCTCTCCATAAACCAAAATTATTCGTGTCATTAAACTTCTCCACATCTATCTTCATAGAGTGAATACTCAAACTATGGACAGTCTTCACGCCAGAAGTACCATTCACAACTCCTTCTTTCTCGGCCATCTTTCTCAAAGCACCAACAAACCAATGCGGAACAAACGAAGAATAGATCCAAACTGAAAAAGAGAGATTTTTACCTCCAACTGAAACCCTAACAAGGGCCTCCAAAAGATCTCACCCCCACACGACGGTAGACAAAATCCACAATAGTAAAAATCCCACATTTATCACTAACTGAAGCCCTAGACGAACTTCTAAAGTGATCTACTCCTCCAACTAGCCCAAGTGTAGCCCAAGCTCTGATACCACTTGTTGTGCACAGAAGCCACCAATCGTTTTGCTGCGATGAACCAAACACAAACACCAAGAGAGAAAGCCAAACAATGCAAAATAATGGCACAAACACAAACAACCAATTTTTTACATGGTTCGGCAAGTTGCCTACGTCCACGGGGCAAAAAAAGGATGATGTTTTCACTAATAGAGAAGAATAGTACAAACTGAGATTACAAATCACTCAAACTCACCAATTAATCTCACCAACAAAACTCTTAATCTCTCAAACAAAACTCTAACAAATAGCTCCAGAAAATACCTCTTTTTTGTGCTCAAAATATCCCCTTGACTGCTCCTAAAAAACCCTAAAACGTGGTTGCTATTTATATCAAACAGCAATCCCAACCAGAACAGGAAACTGCAATCAGACCCACTCGAATCGCGGTCGACCGGACAGAACGACAGAACCCAAAATTCAATTACAGTGTCTTGCAAATCGACCGTCGAAATCATCGCGGTCGACCGGCCAAAAATCTAGAATCTGTACTAAGTCGTGCACGTTGCTGGTCGACCGGAGAGCACCCGAATGTCTGTCAGCTCCATTTTTCCTGATCTTCTCCAATATTTTCGCCGCTTCTAAAAAAACATTTGTGATTAGCATAATGTTTAATTTGGTAAAACTTAATTATTATAATGAACGTAAGATCAACTTAATGGCACATATTTGACTTGTTAATCAAAGATAAGCTTGAAAATGACCTCAGCCAGTCTTTGTCAATTAGATAAGATTAGATTTGATAGTAAACTATATTGTTTCGTATACTTATATTTGTGTGCGCGCTTAGATCATTCATATATATCTATAAAATTATCCCCTAAATCTCAGTATTTTCAAAACTATATTGAACTCATCAACTACGGGGAAATACCCCCGGCTAGTCTGCGGTTGCAATATTTTAATGTCAAAATATTAACAAATTATTAAAATACTACTCTATCCAACAAAATTGATGATTTTATCGATTACGCTAGTCTAAAGCTTGGATACACTTGAGAACCTAACTTTCCCAAATCCAAAGGCGACCACTCATTTGCAAGCTTTGCCCACCTCAGCCTTTTTAGCTGTCTGCTTTGTTAAAACACCTTTTTTTTCAATTTTTTTAATTGATTAACTCTTATTTATTGCTTTGTTTGGCTGCTTAATGGTTTTCAATTGGATCCGCATCTTGAAACGAGACAGTGGTATTTTATAGAATCATGTTCTTGGATCCACATAGATAAAGTGCTTCCAACTACTTGTTAAAGCATAAAGCATCAATCTTCTCTCCTCCTTTTTCTATCTTTCTTTTTCCAACTTGCCTTTAATTTTCTTTATCTAACTTTAATTTTATTAAAATTTTACTTAAAAATTGTAAGCCTCTTCTCCTACATTACCTGCATGAGCTTTTGTGATTCTGCTTAAAGTAATAAGGAAGGAAACCCTTCTATCTGTGTTCTATTAGTATACTGTTTTTAACTTCCATTATTAAATAACCCTCTCTTGTTGTCTCCGAGAAAGGCTGTTTGGTTGGCTGAGAAACTAAGAAAAGATAATCAAAACATCCAACACACTCATGTGAATGTGTTTGATTTCCTTTCCTTGTGTTTTGTTGAGAGAAAAAAAAAAGATGTTGTGCATGTGAGACCCATCCACTATTAAGATAATAATGCTATAGAGTCCCAAATTTAAGAAAACGCATTTCCTCCAAAAAAAGGTCATGAAATAGGTTTGAAAACGTAACAATGGGAACCACAACCTATTTCCCATGACTAATCTCCCAAACTTGGGTTTGTAGAAAACGAACCAAACGGACCTCTTAGTGGACCAAAACTTGCCTAAAAAACTAAATACCCACATGACTTATGACTATGACCACATGAGAATCCTTTCCCACTAAGAAACATCTCTCTCTCTCTCTCTCTCTCTCTCGAATGGAGCCACAAATCAAGCCTACCTCCAATGGAACGCAAGATGTTGTTGCAAGCCATGGATACAACAATTCAAGATCCACCTTTGATGGATACAACTTTAGACCATCATCATCATCACCACCATCATCATCAAAATTTCTATCAAGCTCAAGGATTCAACTAGCAATACTCATCCTCAGATCAACTACCTTGATCTTAACTTTCATCGCCGCAATTGTGATGGGCACGGGGAAGGGTAGAACCAGAGTCTCCGTCACTGACCCTATCACCATGAAGACTGCAAATTTCATCGAAACGGTTCGAGCAAAATACTCCTCTGCTCTTGTGTAAGCCTTCTCCATTCTTCCATCAAGATTTAGTCCCATGTTGATAATTAGGAAAAATATTTGTACGTCATGACCATATCATAATCTTGAATATGTTAGATTTGAAATCTAGATCTAGAACGTTTATATATCATCCAAGCTTGCCGTGTATCTAGAATATTTAGTCACATATGGATAAGATTTTTTTTAACTAGGCAAATATATGTCATCACAATTGCATCATAATTAGTTTGGTATGTGTTTGGTTTTTAAATCTAGAGCTACTATTTCCATCATCCATGGTTGACATTTTAGTACTTGTAGGTAACTTAGTCCCATAAATCATGGTCATATGCTTGAGTTTTGGATGTGTTTGATCTGAAATTTTGAGTTAGTGTTTCTATCGTATCATGCATAATAGGATATACAAAGGATTAGAGCTACATGTTAATTAGTTTGATGTGTTTGATTTCAGGATGAGAGCTAGAACTAATGAAATACTAATTTTGGTTTAAAAGTTTGTGATGAGATTGTAAAAGTACAACTAGAATAGTTGTGTTCTGTTTCTGATATTACTATCTCTGAACTACAATCTGAAAATTAGAAGAAGGGGGGAGGTTTTGGAAGTATGTGCTGATGAATTACTTCTATTATGAAATGCAAACGAAGAAATTTTCTAAATAAACACATTCATTTTTTTTTCAAAAAATAGACCCCTCGAGTTTTATTTACAAAAATAGACCCAGTTTATCTTAATCCGGTTCCTAAATAGTCGGAGTTGTCAACCCCGACTATTTAGGAGGTTGTAAACCCCTAATTATAACCCTAAACCCTTACACTTTATGCACTAAATAGTCAGGGTTGGTAACCCCGACTATTAAGAAACCGAATTAAGACAAAATGAGTCGATCACGGAATGAAGTTTATCCAGGATGTGTTAGAAATATGAAGGAGAAATCTACAACTTTCATCTTTTGAGCTTCTTCAGATTCAAAGCGAGACAGTCTCTACCAGGACCGAGACACTTGGAGTGTCTCCGCTAAGTCCCAGATACTTGAAGTGTCTCCACTAAGGCCCGGACACTTGAAGTGTCTCCACTAAGGTCCGGACACTTGAAGTGTCTCCACTAAGTCCCGGACACTTGAAGTGTCTCCACTAAGGCCCGGATACTGATCAGCCGCGCCTCTGACATTTTCGCTGTATTTTCGTCGTCCGAACTCGGAATTATGTTTATTAAAAATAGACCCCTCGAGTTTCAAAGCGAGACAATCTCTACCATGACCGAGACACTTGGAGTGTCTCCGCTAAGTCCCAGATACTTGAAGTGTCTCCACTAAGGCCCGGACACTTGAAGTGTCTCCACTAAGGTCCGGACACTTGAAGTGTCTCCACTAAGTCCCGGAAACTTGAAGTGTCTCCACTATTTAGTTGTGTTCTGTTTCTGATATTACTATCTCTGAACTACAATCTGAAAATTAGAAGAAGAAGGGGGAGGTTTTGGAAGTATGTGCTGATGAATTACTACTAATATGAAATGCAAACGAAGAAATGTTCTAAATAAACTCATTCATTTTTTTTTCCAAAAAATAGACCCATTGAGTTTTATTTACAAAAATAGACCCGGTTTATCTTAATCCGGTTCCTAATTAAATAGTCGGGGTTGTCAACCCCGACTATTTAGCAGGTTGTAAACCCCCAATTATAACCCTAAACCCTAACACTTTATGCACTAAATAGTCGGGGTTGGCAACCCCGACTATTTAGAAACCGAAATAAAACAAAATGGATCGATTTTTGTAAAAAAAAAACTCAATAGGGTCTATTTTTAGAAAAAAAAATTATGAATGGGTTTGCTTAGAAAATTTCTTCAAATGCAAACTGATAGAGACCACTGAAGACTTCACGTTCCACTCTCCATATATACTAGCATTATATGGCATTTTTTAATTGTAGAGTGCAAAGACTGATGAAAAGTTCTATTTCCATTGAGAGTGGTTAAAAAAGAGTTATCGGAGCAGTCTTTGTCAAAATTGTCAGTGGATACTTCATGAACATTTTAATATTCTGAAGGATAACATGGTATCTATATTTAATTATAAAGTTTTACGGTGGCATCCTGCAATTGTCACGGGCTGCTTCTTTCACCACAAACCTCACTCGAACCCGTGCGGCACTTAGTCACTCTTTCTCTCACTAGAATGGCTAAGTCAGCCTAATCCCTCAAACACTCACTCACTTCTCCTAAAATATCTCCCTAGATATTTACATGAGACTTTCCTTGAATCTTCTAGATACAAGATATTTGTCATATGTAAGAAAACTCTAGAAAACCCAAGAAACTTCATGGACCCAACCTTTAATGAGTGAGTCCAAATGCACCCAATTGAGCTAAAATGGGGCGGTTCGTGACATTCTCCCCCACCTATCCGGGCGATGCCCTCATCGCTTAGCCTTCTCTTGGCGGAACTTCTCGATCAAGTCTTCAAACTGCCACAAGGATCGCGCCGGTTCCCAGCTGTTCTCACTGTCGGGCAAGCCTTTCCACTTCACAAAGTACTCTAACCTCGGGTGGTTGTTGGCTTCACGAACCATCCTATCCGCAAGAATTTCTTCGGCCTCCTTGTCGAACTCCATGCGAATCCCGGCTGGCGCTCGACTAGACTTTCCTCTATCTGGATCTTCCGTGTCCTGATGATATGGCTTCAACATGCTCACATGGAAGACCGGATGATACTTCACGGTTGGGGGAAGCTTTACCTTATAAGCTACGTTCCCCACCTTTTTCTCGATCGGAAATGGGCTCTCATACTTGCGTATCAAGCTCTTGTGCAACCCTTTATGTCGATCTAACGTGGAAAGCCTGACAAGGACCAAGTCTCCAACTTGATACTCCATATGCCTTCGCTTCTTGTCGGCCCATTTCTGCATCTTCTTTGCCGCCTTGTTCAAGCACGAGCGTGCCAATTCATTCTGATCTTGCCACCCCTTGGCAAATTTGTATGCGGCTGGGCTATTTCCCTTATAGCCTATAGCAATAGAGTTTGGAGTGAGTGGTTGTTGACCTGTGACGATCTCAAATGGGCTCCTCCCGGTAGACTCACTCCTTTGCAAATTGTAGGAGAACTGGGCTATGTCTAGTAGCTTCGCCCAATCCTGTTGGTTGGCACTCACATAGTGCCTCAAGTATACCTCCAACAAGCCGTTCACCCGCTCCGTCTTCCCATCTGTCTGAGGGTGAAAGCTAGTGGAGAAGTTTAGATCTGACCCCATGAGCTTGAAGAGTTCTGTCCAGAATCTCCCTGTGAAGCGGCCATCCCGATCGCTTACGATGGATTTTGGTAGCCCCCAATACTTCACCACGTGCTTCAGAAATAGTGGTGCTGCTACCTCGGCTGGACACTTAGCTGGGGCTGGAATGAAAATACCGTACTTAGAGAACCGGTCAACCACCACCATAATAATGCTGCATCCATCTGACTTTGGTAGACCCATGATGAAGTCCATGGAGATGCTCTCCCAAGGTCGCTCCGGAATAGGTAATGGCTCTAATAGTCCGGCCGGTGCTCTCTGCTTTGTCTTGTCTTGTTGGCACACAAGACAAGTCTTCACATAGGCCTCAACATCATCCCTCATACGAGGCCAATAATACGTCTCCTCTGCAAGAGCTAGAGTTCGATGCACACCTGGATGTCCCGCCCATTGAGAGTCATGACATTCTTTAAGGATCTCTCGCCTTAGATTCCCAAACAATGGCACATATACCCGTCTTCCTTTGGTGTAAAGTAGGTCTCCATCTAGCCAGAACCTTCGAGTCTTGCCTTCCTTTGTGTACTCCACCATGTTCTTGGCTATAGGATCATGAGACAAACCTTCCTTAATACGATCAAGTAACGTGCTCTGGGGATGACTCACCATAGCAGCAAGATCTGCCTTCCGGCTCAATGCATCCGCCACTGAGTTGATTTTTCCCGGTTTGTACTCGAGCACATAGTCAAACTCTGCCAAGAAGTCCTGCCATCGTGCCTGCTTAGGAGATAACTTCTTCTGAGTCTGGAAATAGCTGGTGGCCACATTGTCTGTCTTCACAATGAACTTGGCTCCAAGTAGGTAGTGCCTCCAAACTCTGAGACAGTGGACCACGGTCGTCATCTCCTTCTCTTGGATGGTGTACCGCTTCTCGGTGTCGTTTAACTTCCGACTCTCATAGGCGGCGGGGTGTCCTTCTTGCATCAACACCCCTCCAATTGCGAAGTCACTCGTATCAGTGTGCACTTCATAAGGCTTGCTAAAGTTGGAAAGGGTGAGAACTGGTTCCTCCGTCACAGCTCTCTTCAAACCTTCAAATGCCCCCTGACATTTTGGACTCCAATCCCATGCCTGATTCTTCTTCAACAAGTCTGTCAGTGGAGCCGCCAATGCTGAATAGATCTTGATGAATCTTCGATAGTAGTTCACCAAACCCAGAAATGATCGCAGCTCCGTCACCTTGGTAGGAGCTCTTGATGAATCTTCGATAGTAGTTCACCAAACCCAGAAATGATCGCAGCTCCGTCACCTTGGTAGGAGGCTCCCACTCCAGTATGGCTCGTATCTTAGCTTGATCCATGCGGATTTTGCCTCCTCCAATGATGTGGCCTAAAAAGACCACCTCCTCCTGTGCGAACGAGCACTTTTCTCTCTTCACATATAGCTCGTTACTCCTAAGTGTCTGGAACACCTGCCTCAAGTGTTCCACATGCTCGTCCATGGTTTGACTATAAATCATAATATCGTCCAAGTAGACCACCACAAAATGGTCGAGGAAAGGCTCCAATACTTTATTCATCATAGTGCAGAAGGTAGCTGGGGCATTGGTAAGACCAAACGGCATAACTAGGAATTCATAAGAGCCGTACCTAGTCACGCATGTCGTTTTTGGTTCATCTCCTTCAGCAATCCGCACTTGATAGTATCCCGAGCGCAAATCAAGCTTAGTGAAGTACCTTGCCTGCCCCAATCTATCGAATAAGTCCTCAATTAAAGGAATGGGATACTTGTTCTTTACCGTGATCTTGTTTAGTGCCCGGTAGTCGATGCATAGCCGCAATGACCCATCATGCTTCTTCTGGAACAATACCGGGGCACCGTATGGAGCTTTGGACGGACGAATGTACCCGGCATCCAGCAACTCTTTCAATTGCTTCTGAAGTTCCTCCAACTCCGGTGGCGCCATGCGATAAGGACCCATGGCTGGGGGACGAGCTCCTGACTCGAGCTCGATCTTATGATCCACCTCTCTCCTAGGTGAGAGCTTACTTGGCAGCTTTGCGGGCATGATGTCTTGGTACTCCTCCAAGACACTTTGGATTTCCTTGGGCACGTCTTCTCCCTGGTGTGAGTCTTCCTCCACCCTAGCTGTGGTAATGAAAGTTGGCTCATGTCGACGGACGCCCTTGGATACTTGTAAGGCCGAGAGCATTTTAGAAGTCACACTCTCGCGCTTGATCGGAACAGTGCACGCCTTGCCCTCTAGGATGCACATTGTGTTGGTGTATGGAACCAACACGGCCTTTACCTTGTCCAAAAATTCCAAGCCAAGCACTACGTCAAAGTCATCCATGGTCACGACCGTCAAGTCTTCTTGGCCGCACCATTCTCCGATGCTTACATCCACCTTCTGAGCCACGCCAGCGATAGGAGTGGGATTTAAATTAACAGCTTTGATGACACCCCCTCCCTTGGTGATCTTGAGATTCAACCTACTAGCAACATCGCGAGAAACCAAGAGATGAGAAGCACCTGTATCCAGAAGGGCCTTGAAGGTCTTGCCTGAAATGATTGTCTCGACGAACATCGCCCCTCGAGGCCTTGTATCTACCTTTGCCTTGATCGCATTGAGAAGGCAAAGTGAGTTGATTCGGATCTCCTCATTTTGCTTCTCCTCTTCTCTCTGAACTAGGGCCGCAAGATTGGCCCTCTTGGGACAGTCCATAGCCTTATGCGGACCGCTGCAGAAGTAGCATGCCAACTTCTTTGAACGGTCACCTCCTTTAGAGTTGTCATAGACCGCTGCAGAAGTAGCATGCCAACTTCTTTGAACGGTCACCTCCTTTAGAGTTGTCATAGGACTTACCTTTCTCGGACGTTGACTTAGGTGGGAACTCTTTGGATGGCTTGTCCTTCTCTCCCCCACCTTTAGCAGGCTTACCCTTCTTATCCTTTGGCTTGGACGAGTCGTTCACCTTTTTGAACTCGATCAGCGACTCGGCTACTTGCATTGCTTGGGCAAGAGTCTGGACGCCACGCCTTTGTAACTCCATCTTGCCCCATCCCGCGAGGCCATCCATGAACGAAAATAGAGAGTCCTTCTCGCCCATGTACGGAATCTCCAGCAGCAACTCTGAAAATTCTTTAACATAATCCCGAATTGAACCTTTCTGAGTAAGGCGACAGAGTTTGCCTCGAGCCTCATCCTCAGCATTCTCCGGGTAGAATTGCCGCTTCAGATCCGCCTTGAATTCTTCCCAAGTAGTGATGGAACACGTACCCTTTTTCATATCCTCACATCGTCTACGCCACCACAATGTAGCGATGTCTTCGAGATAAAGAGGTATGGCTTGGAGCTTGGATGCATCATCCCTATATCCGGCAGCATTGAAGTATACTTCCATGTTCCATAGGAAGTTATCAATCTCCCGGGCACCCCTAGCTCCTTTATACGGCTTCGGTTTAGGAGTATCTTTAGCCATGAAAGGTTGTGAAATCATACCTCGAGTTGCCAAGATAGCATCATATTGGCCGAACTTTTCTCTAAATTCAGCCATCTCCTTCAGGAACATTTCTCCTTGGCTCCGTAAGAATGCACACTCCTCACGTACGGATGTGATCCCTTGCTGTAGCATGTCGACGGCGGAATTCAAGGCCGACTGCATCTCCTCCCGAAGCTCGTCTCCCGCAGACTCCAGCTTCTCGATGCGCTCGTCGAAAGCCTCCATCTTATCCGCCACGGTAAGCTCCACCTTAGCCAACCGTGCCTCCAATGTCGACATGATGTCGCGAGATTTCTCCCTCCGTTGCTTTGGAGCATCCTTCGGATCCACCGCACCAATTACTTCGGAACGAAGGTCGGAGCTCGACATTATCACTTCTGAACCTTGGCTCTGATACCAAATGTCACGGGCTGATTCTTTCACCACAAACCTCACTCGAACCCGTGCGGCACTTAGTCACTCTTTCTCTCACTAGAATGGCTAAGTCAGCCTAATCCCTCAAACACTCACTCAAGAGAAGGGAAGAGAACACTCAAGAGTGGAAGTGGAAGCTCTTATTGCTTTATTGCTTAGCAACTCTTGCTTGGTACAAAGGAAATGCCTTAGCCCCTATTTATAGGTGAGGCTAGATTACAATGAATGGCTATGATTAGCCTTCTAGATTGTTCCTACATCCAACGGTTAGGATTGAGTCTCTAGACCCTTCTCCTAAAATATCTCCCTAGATATTTACATGAGACTTTCCTTGAATCTTCTAGATACAAGATATTTGTCATATGTAAGAAAACTCTAGAAAACCCAAGAAACTTCATGGACCCAACCTTTAATGAGTGAGTCCAAATGCACCCAATTGAGCTAAAATGGGGCGGTTCGTGACACAATCACGCACCTCAGAGAAGCCAATCTTTGCATTCACTTTGATCGGGTCAAAAGGGTGAGAGTATGAGTCATGAAAGACCTTTTTGAGATAAACCCCTTAACTATTTCTTTTCCACAAACCCCCCCGAATGTTGAGGGGGCATCACACATAACCCCGTTAGATTTCTTTTCTTCCATTAAAGGGGGTTTTGTGAAGTTTTTACCCAATTTTAGAACGGCATCATTCCTTAACTAAGAGCATCTCCAACAACTTCCTCATTTCTCATTTTTGGAGAATTTAGTTAGGTTTTTGGCCCAACAGATTCCCCATCTCATTCCCCAAAATAGGTTTTTGGCCCAACAGATTCCCCATCTCATTCCCCAAAATAGGGATGGAGGAGAAAAAATGGGGAAGCTTCCCCAAACTCATTCCCCAAAATAGGGATGGAGGAGAAAAAATGGGGAAGCTTCCCCAAATCTGCAACATTCTCCAAATTTTTGGAGGAAAAAATGGATTCTTTAAAATGGAGAAGCTGTTGGAGTTGATGTAAAAATTAGTTGGAGAATAGACTTTTGCTTCCCCATTTTGAAGAAAATTTTGGAGAAACTGTTGGAGATGGATGGGGGAGAAAAAATGAGGAAGCTTCCCCAAATCTGCAGCAATCTCCAAATTTTTGGAGGAAAAAATGGATTCTTCAAAATAGGGAAGCTGTTGGAGTTTGTGTAAAAATAATTTGAAGAATATGACTTTTGCTTCCTCATTTTGGAGAAAATTTTAGATAACCTGTTGGAGATGCTGTTTACTAATGCTGGTCTTTGAAAAACTGCAGGTACTTCGTAGTGACAAACGTGCTCATGTTCCTCTACTCAGCCTCATCACTCGCAATACTCTTCCTCATCAAAGAAACCTCAAGATACATCCAACTGTCCTTCGCAATCTCTGATGTACTGTTCCTAATCCTTCTCTTCTCGAACAACGGAGCCTCAATCACAACAAGCTTAACAATGGAGAATGGAAACACAGAGTTGGGGTGGATAAAAATATGCGATGCTGTCAATACCTTCTGTGCTCACGTTACGGCTGCAATTGTGTTGTCCGTGTTCGCGTCGATAGCACATCTGGTGATAGTTTTGTTGGAGGTAATTGGCATGCATGTAGGAGACTAGATGTGAAGATTTAATGTGGTTTTTGTATTTGAGCTTCAGATGTGCTTACAGCTTTTGCTTGTGTAAAGGAAATATTGATATATAGTATGTATATGATGGAGAATAGGGACCAGCAGAGACAATCTGTAAATGTTAGAGAAACTGCAAAAAAAAAAAAAAAAAAAAAAAAAAAAAAACATCTGTCAGAAAAAAAAAAAAAAAAAAAAAAAAAAAAAAAAAAAAAAAACATCTGTCAGAGGTTAAGTTAAAAAGTTTTGAAGACTGCTAGCTGTCTGGTTCAAAATTTCAAAGTTTCAGTATTTTTATTGCAATGATTGTGCTCTTGATTTTGTATGTGAGGTTCAGATGTAATTATGCTTTGGATGTAAATTAAAGTTTTATGATCGTTTTCATATGAGAGTAACCTTCTTATTATCATTTCATGCATCAAACTAACCTGCAGGGCTATTATGCTACCAAATTATTGGGCTTGAAGAGTTGTTAAAAATAAAGATAAGCTAGGATGAAGGGCTTGACTGTAAAAAAAATATATATATATATATGACATCATTTTTAGGGGCAATAATTGTGACAGCAGGAGATAGTCAAATATACCTATTTAACATTGACTCCCTGATATTTCCTGAGAAAAATAAATCAAGTACACTGAAGGGGTTGGTAACCCAAAAAAAAGCAGACATATCATCAAAAAGTTTTGCCTTTTTCAGGGGCAATTTTACAATAGAAACCCCCAAGTTTTGACAAAAGAATCAGAGCCAGAGATAGGCCCAATGATGACCCCTTCAACAGTAGCTCTGCAGTATTCCCCCCAGCAGCCCAGCTTAACAACTACAAACCACCAAAAGAAAAAAATCCCAACAAATCTTGTTTCCTTAAACGGCAACATGTCTTCTTGACTTGCCATCATCACCCATTTCCTTAAACGGAACAACAAAGACCAAACCAAACATATAAGCACAATGGCAACGAAGACCAGAAGAATACAGTTCAGTTTCTTGTTGCGAAGAGGGCAAAGTTATGAAAGAAGATGGCTCTGAAGCAGCTCATCCAGCTTCACTGAGAAAAAATGAAGCGTTGCAGCTCGAGCGATCCCGAAGGGACAAGATGGCAGAGTTTTACACTGTGTTGCAGTCCATGGTGCCTAATCTCTTTCCTAGGGTCTCTCTCTAATTTCTTGCATTTTTTTGCACCTTTTTTTCCCACCTCTGAATCAAGTGTTTTGGACTTCATTTCTGAAAAATGGGTTTTTATCAACTTTTCCTTTGATTGGTGTGAATGAAACTGCATTGTGTTGTAGACCCTTTTTTAATCTCTTTCCAAAGGTCTATCTCTTAATCAGTCACAAACTTGGTTTTTATTTCTAATTTGTTGTATTTTGGTTTTTATTTCTGAAATATGGTTTTTTATAACTTTTTTTATTATTGGCGTGCAAACTTAACAAAACCTGCAAAAGGGTAACTTCATTGGTATTGGTAATCTCATTTTTGCCTTATAAACTGCAGAAAACAGTGTTTTGTTTCTTGTTTTTTTACATATTGCTCTCTTTTGGTTGCCAACTGAACATTTTATTTTTGTTATATAAACTTCAGTTTATTTGAGATTTTTAGTTCAATCGCGTTGCATTCTGCAGGCAACAAGGACGAGAGTCGTCGACGAAACAATAAGCTACATAAAGTCCCTTGAAGGAGTAGTCACTGCACTAGACTCCCAGAAAAGGGCTAAGAAGCTGCACAGACGCAGAAACTCATCCATCACTATAACAGTCTCCAACAGAACAGCGTTCTTCGCGTTGCGCGTTGCTCCTGGCCACGGTCGCTTTGCACGCGTAATAGAGGTATTTGAGAAGCACAAGGCCGAGGTGCTGGCGGCGACGGTGGTGGCGAGCGAGGATGGATGCACGGACGTTACGGTCACCGCGTTGTTGGATGGGGAGGAAAGCGCGGAGAGGATCAAGGCCGAGCTGATGACACTCTAGTACGGTCGACCGTTTAGTTTCTCGCGACCGTAGTCGCAATGTAAATATCCGTTATAGTCGCAGTTGCTTGGTTCAGTTTTAGTATGAAGTTGTGGTTGTAGTCAGAAGCTTGTATTGCAACATGGTTACGTTTCAAACTGAAGCTGAAACTGTCAGGTTATTGCGGCGCATGCAACGGTAAAAAAAACTGTTGATAAAAAGGACAATTTTACTTTCAAGCGCAAAGATTGGAGATCAGCTCTCCTAATGATTTAAGTCCAGGTGTTGTCCACTTGTTGCTCTGTTGAAAATAAAACTTTAAAAAAAAATAAAAGAAAATAAAAGGGAACTAGCCGTACCGAGACTGAAAAGGTTCAGAACTGGTCCTCAGTTGGCAGACAACACAGGGCTTGGTTCCTTTTTCTCCTTGAGATGTTTTATCTTCATCATCAAGTCCAGTTACATTTTCGTCAAAAAAAATTGTAAGCAATTTGACCACTGCGCAAAAAAGATAATCATGATGGCTTTAACTGAAGGAACCAACCACCAGATAAAAAAATTTAAAAAAAAGAACTGAGGGGCGAAAAAAATAAAGAGGAGAAGAAAGAAAATGACAATTTAACCGAAACGTTCCCACCTTAAGCGGCAAGAAAAGCTTTGGTAGGGGAACCTATCAGTCTCATCCCTGTGTATAAGTGGACTTTTCAGCAAAACTTACTGCTGTTACGCTACAAAACCATATATGTAACCACATCCTATCGGTTATAAATTTGAGTAACCATATATTTGTATCCTAACAGACACGATTACAAATATTTTCTCGGATACGGATACAGTTTAGCACCCTTAATCAAACATCCATAGTATAGCATGAAAAAAAAATTAACACCTTCCAGCAATCTCCCAATGTACAAGCAAGTACATGTCAAATATATCACAATATCAAACGATAGAATTTTTCCAAAATTGGCAGCTTTACTAGAAGCAATCTCACAATGCAAACGCTCCGCTTGAGGTAAACAAGAAATGCTTTTAAGCACCATTTTATTTCAAGGGAATTACTCCCATAACATCGTTTTCGGCACTCCCACATCTATAACATTTTTGGCATCATCTATCTAAGCCTTGTAATATAGGAGATATTGGATACTCATGTTGTCAATTGATGCTCTTCGGAATTATAGCATCCACCCTTTACATAATGCTATAACACCGCCGTGTAGGATAAAACCTCAGGAGCTTTCATGCTGACCAAATTGCGGCCCTTAAAGAATTAGCTTCACCGAAGATCTTAATCCTCTGATTTACATGAAAACAAATATCCTAGTTTGGTGGAAACTAGGAAGCACACTCAAGAAGAATCACTAAACAAGGTATCATACATCCCAAGCAGAAGCAGACTCCTTGCTTGATAACTGGATACCTTCATAAGAAATAATCTAATCCGTAAGGCAGGTAACAAGTTAGATCTGAGATTTGCGAAACATTTTTTTTAAATGGGTTTTTAGTATAAATTCACCTTAAATCATGTGTATTTGCAAAACTACCCCCAAAATCGAGTGTCTGCATGCCCCCTCAAATCTCAACTTTGGAAAAAAAGAAACTACCCCTCAAATCATCAACTTAGATAGACTAATTTGTAATTGCAGTTTAAAAGTGTCAATAAAATAGTCAAAATTTTATTCACAGTATCCAACAGAGTTGATGATTTGCTTATTTGGGGTTTTCTTTCAGAGTTGATGATTGGGGGGTTGGTGAGAGGAATTTTGCAACCATTGAGATTTTGGAGGTAGTTTTGTAAATACACATGGTTTAAGGGGTACATAAACAAAATACAATGCCCAAAAGAACAGCTTAGTTTTAGAGTTATGTTGTCGGCAGGCTATGTAGTACTAACCTCTCGAGGAAAGTGCAGGATCATCTTGAGTGTTGCAATCGGTAATTGAGGACCAAATCTTCTGGCTTCTTCCAAATATAAGCTCGTACAGTGGCCAAACTCATTTCAGGTGACAGCACCTACATAAGGAATTTGTATAAGAAAAGATTGTTATAGATAAAGGGGAAAAAACAGTTATAAATTAATTCAGTAGATATGAATTATGACATCCGCCCATCCTTAAGTTCATGGAGTGGTGCTCTAAAAGTTAGCAATATGAACAGGACCTTGAAAGCTTATTCATACCAAACAAATTTAAATGATTAGCAAACACTAAAGAAGTCTATCTTATGCACAATACAAGATGACTGAAAAACAATGACACAATGATACAAAATAAACAAAAACAATGGGAAACTTGGTTTAAGAAGAGAGAGGAGAGAGAATTCAGAATTGTCGGGATTAGCAGCACCAAAAGGAAACAATACACAACTACCACTCCCAGGGTGATGGAAAATGCAAATAGAATGAGATCTTATTAAATAGAAATGAAAACCAAGAAATCTCAAAGGGTACAATTTTATTATTTTCATCCATAAAACTCACCCACAACATCTAATAAAATATTATTTTTATCCAACAACTCATCCACCACATCTAATAAAATATTATTTTCATCCAACAACTCATCCATCACATCCACCACATCTAATAAAATATTATTTTCATCCACAACATCACTTAACTCATCTCATCTCATATTTAAAAATCACTCACATCATCCAATAAGATTGTAAGATTGTGACAACTCATCTCATCTCATTAACATTTTATTTCTTTGTTTTCCTCCCAAAAAGCTAGGAAAACAATTTCCTTAAGTGTGGGTCACATCATCCAATAATATAATGACAACTCATCTCATCTCATCTATTTTCTTATTTTTAAGAAATAACCAAACAAAAGAAAACAACATATTACAATAAATAGGTTTCTTATAATTCATTTCCTTATTTTTTCCGCCAACCAAACAACATCAAAACAAGTTTTCTTAAAAAATCACTCACATCATCCTATAATAAGGTGACAATTCATCTCATCTCATCTCCATTTCTTTGATTTCCTTCTTTTTTTAGCCAACCAAACAATCCCAAAACCTATTTTTCTTAGAAATAGGTTTCATTTTCTTTGATTTCCCTCTTTTTTTAGGCAAACAAACAGCTTCGAGCAAACAATGCAAGAACTGAACCACCATGGGCGTCCAAAACTTCCTAAATTTAATGTACAACAAAATTAACCTTAATCATGTGGATGGCAGTCAAGATAATTTCTTTGCACTTACCTGGTTATTGCACAAGATCTCTATGGATGGCTTCACCTTTTGCCATGGTTTTAGCCCTGACCGCAAAGAGCCGTCTCCAATAGATGAAAGTTGTGATTGTCCTGCACTCAATCCCAAACCAAATGTTCCATCCGAACTTCCTCCATCCAATGGTTTATCGAGAACTATTTTCTCAATCACATAGTTAATTACCTGCAGACCAATTGTAACAAGCCTTATAACTAGGTGTTTCATGAAAAATACGTGCACAAATCTAACAAGGCTTGCAAAGTCACATTTCAACATAGATATGAAAATGTTTGCATGCGACCAGACTGTAAACTAAAATATATACAGTCGCCAACTAGCTGCATCAGTAGTGTGACGATTTGGACAATCAACTAGTACTTACTTTATGTATCCGCAATATCCTGGGTGCACTCAGTTTGCCTTGGGTGATCACCGGTATGGTTGAGCCTTCACAAGGGTGCAAATAAAAGCTACACCTGAAGGAGACAGAGAGCTAGATCAGAAAATAAAAGAATTGTGCTTGAGTAGGAACATCACTGTAATAATGTTTATTCGACCGAAAAAGAGACTTACAGAAGAGATTAAAAGTTGTGTTCACAAGCAAAAGCAGAAAAGAACTTACTTCTCTCCCTGAATTCTCAAGTGCATATGGGATCAACCTACGTCTGGTGGAAAATAAAAATTAATATCAAATGATCTTGGTAGTGGGCAATGCCTGGTTCCTATGGAAGGACGGTCATGGATAAACTTCTCTCCTCTAGTCTCAAATACCAGCTAGTGAAGCATGCGTCCATTTTTTGCATTCTTTAAATAGAGTTTTCATTCAAATCTGTAAGAAACAAACTATTGGACTCTTCAGTTACAATATCCTCTCCCTCCAAAGATTCAACTAAATTTTCTGTTCACTCCCTTGCCCATTTCCCATCTTTCATTTTATCAATGTGCACCTTATAGATGTTTTCTTCTCTGTGATCTGATATTCAGCACAAGAAATCAAGCGTCAAAACAACCAGTACATGTGCACACTTGTCACCATTTCAAAATATGTGTACTGACTGAAAAAGTATGGAAAGTGCCTATTACATCACAGAATATAGGATAGGAAGTTGCCAAGGTTGCAGCCAAAGGAACTAAAACTAATATTCAAGATCAAAACCATTCTACTTAGTACTAATACTTTAATTCATTTTCAATCTCTCTTTACTACTAGCATTTTTATAGTTAAATCAAGGAAACATTGTTCACTTCCAGTCCATTTTGCTTAATTGGACATCCTCGTTCTGATCTAAGTATCAGTGCCTTAAGGATCAAACTGCAGAAGTCTACTCAGGAAACATGGACACCAACAAGAGGCTCATATGATACTAGCACAGATCTGACTGATAGATTCTATGTTTCATTTATTCGTACATTCAGGAAGACCACAGAATAAATAAAACAATACAGGGATATGATAAAGTGCATAAAGGTAAGAAAATACTTGGTATTTTCTCTCGGTGGCATCCGACCATTCAACACACAATCTAGACACCACCATGGAAAATCTTTCTCGTCTTCTGTCCCATCTAAATCAGTTATTTTCTTTCTCCAAGGTCCTCCATATGTACCATGCCCTTCTGTGATAATTGATGGTGGGGAGACAGTCGAGAATTCAAAAGCAGGGAGCACTGCTGTATTATGGTTTTCAGAAGTGTCATCAACCTCAATCCTCGAATGGGAAAGATTTCTCAAGGATATATCCCTCGCTGATGAAATATCACCATTAGAGGATGCTTGTGCTCCAATCCTCTGCCTTCTTTTGGCCATCCAATGTGCCAAGAGACCACGCAGACTCTCCTGAGCTAGATTGATCTACAAATTTGTGCGAAACAACACATTAGTAGAACAGCTCAAAAAATCATTTAAGATCAGCAGCAAGATCCAAAGGATTATTATGAGCCAAATTTTAATGCCACTAACTGCACACATCTTTTTTCTCTCATAGAAGGACAAAATATTGAAAAGATAACTGCAAATATGGAAATGACTATTAGATGGTGATATAAGTATTAAGCTATTAATGGATGCAGGATTAACTTCCAAATGCAATATATTCCATTTTACTCCTGAGTAGGAAATCTTGTCTAGACAAAAAAAAAAAGCATGTATTAAAAGCTTAAAAATAATCAAGGCCAAGGTTACGTCCTCAATAAAAGAAAAATCATTTTCCAGCTTTACAAACCGACACCTGATGCTACCATAAAATTATAGGTTCATAATCAATCGATAGTTTGATACATATTAATACCGCTTAAAATCCATGCCTTATGCCATGAAATGTTTAAAAATAACATAGATACTCCATGTTCAGTGTCTAGTTTGTCAAATTCACAGTTTAAATTAAATAGTAATAGACAACATAATAGTGTGAACCTTGAGAATAAAAAAGAAAAAGAAAACATAACCGTGAGGCTAACATCTAAATGAAATGCATGGCATTTTAAAATAACTAAATACTTAATGTGAACAAGAATAGGAAGATATTTTCAATATCAAAGTATAGGTGTCCTGCAATGTCAAAGTCATAGACAAGAGTATAATGTGAAAAAGAGAAGGTGAGACAAGCCCTTGAGTGAAAAATGGCCCCTTCAAGTTATACATAAAAGGTGTTATGTAACAGAAAATTTAAGACAGACACATACGTGAAGATAATACAGTCAATAAAATGTGGACTAGAGACCCGCATGAATGAGAAAACAATCTGCCTTGGTTTTATATAGGCAGTGGATATAAAAGATAATTGCAACTTGCCAATTTCTAAGGCTATCAACATTATTTTGGAATTGGATGCTATGTTTTCCTACTGATGAATATGGTAATGCAATACCCCATAAAAACTGCTTCAGGTTCCGTCTCTGAAATGGACTCTTTCCTACGCTTATTTTACATGAATAGAAAGGTAGAATTACCTTTTGAATGGTATCGGTCTTTGGGTCTATAGCAAGGCCCTTAGTCGCTTGTAATTTCCCAAAACAAGAATCAGAAACCAAACAGGAGTGGTTCAAGAGTTTGATGTTAGATTGATGATTGCCAAAATAAACCACTTCTTAGAGCTCATTCCAACTTTCCATAATTCAAAAGGTACGGTCGAATGAATGGTGATGGTCATGAAATCATGATTTATAAAAAGGAAGGTACCAGCAGAACTCTAATTAGTTGAAGTTCTACCATCAATTTCATACACCTATAATCTATTTGAGTAATTACATGAAGAATGGATGATACCTTCTTGTAAAAAAAATATCGCGTTACGAACATTCCTCCTACCATACTAGTGAATCTTGTGTAATCAAGTTATTTGGATCAGTAGAAACTTTGCTACGTTTATAACTTCAGGATACAGGATCAAGATTGAGGTCAACCAAAAAAAGAGGGGGAGAGAGGGAGGGGGAGAGAGTAAGTACCTTGTGATCTTCAGCAGCTCCTAAAATATTCAAATCAGCAGCATACATCTCCGCAGAAAAGCATTGTGGCGTGTCCAGGTGGACAGACAGGCTTCCAAGTCGAGTATCCATAGTAAACCATGCAGGAATACTAACCTGGAAAAGATGAGAGAAATTTTCTCAGAACCCGAAATACTTTATAGCATTGGAAAGTATAATTCACCCACAGTATATGCAAAAGTACCATTTCAAATAGTGCTTGTTTCTTCTCCTCAAAATCAACCTACAGGATTAAAAAAACAAAATGTGTAATTATAGCATCAAACAATAAACTAGATGCTTCCTCTTAATTGCAAGCTAACTCTCAGCAAGCCATAAAGGCTATAATGGACAAAATACGGAAACTATTACGCCTTAGGACTCAGGAGAAAATTTTGAGAATAAATGGTACCTTTCCGTAGTCCTCAATTACAATTCCCCTGGTAATATCCCACAGTTTAACAGAACCTGCAGCATCCTGTACACGTAATGACCTTTTGTTATGGAAACATACATCCACCAAGGAATATGCTTATAATTGTGAGAACACCAAAAATAGTAGCAGTATTTCCATGTACACAAAAATCAGGCATCATATCACCTTAGTCAAGACCCGTCTTCTATTGTTTAAGATTTCATGTTGCACGATTCCTGGAATTCCAGGTATTGTCATGGACGGTTCTTTGAAAACAGGGGCCTGTAACAAAAATAAAGAAAAAATAAATAAACCTGGGGTAGTAAAGGAACCATTGTGCGCTAACTATATAACGAACAACAAGCATCCAAAGAAAGAAAGTTGAGCAACCTAAATATCTAAGATTTTGAGAAGCAAAATGAGACTGCCGGCAACATACAAAAAATACATGTCCAACTTAACAAACCCATGCTGTTTAAATTGATTGCAATTTTTAAACTACACGATTACACGAGATCAAATAATAACCTCTTCAACAACACAGATGAAGAACTATTAGTACTGACACTGAAATAAGGTGAATTCCAGGGTCTCAATCTTAATATCCATCTTGAACCTTCATATGGATGTTGGGAAGTATAAATTGTAGAATTAGAAGGCAAGGAGTTAAAAATAGGACGAACTAATGTATACAACCGAATAAAAGGAAAGATTTCAAAAGAAACATGCATATTGTGGGAGAAACAATATCTGCTGCTGAACTTGGAAAAGCATAAAAGAATTTCCTTATACTTACATGAAGAGGGAAAAACTTTGACAAATAAGCAGTATCATAACAACCGGGGATAACCATATTCCTGCCAGTATATCTTTTCCCCATAACAACTCATACGTTGAAAACAAAAATAAAATAAAATAAAATACAACTTACAGGTGCTGATCCTTCCAAAGAAGCTCTTGCCCTAGAAAAAGACAAATTCCCAGCTAAGAATGAACCTCCTCTTTGGAAAACCTTCTGTGGGTTACATCCTTCAGCTGGCCACCGGTAAACAGAAGAATCCGTTGATGCGACCCAAATGCTATCGTCTTGCAAAGCCAACTGCAGAACAGGGTGGTCCTTTTTGCAAAGTAAAACACTCTCTCTTGTTGACAAATCTGTTAGGTATACCTGAGACAACATTCAGAAACATGCAGAGGCCACACAAATTAGACAGAGTTCAGATGTTAACCCTTAAGAAAATAGAGTTTACTTCTCAAATAGGGAAATTCATTACGCACAGAAAGGTCCCTCCCACCACTATAAACATGGCTAAATGTGGGAGTGCTGGCAAGTGCCCAAACAGAATCTGTATGCACAGCATAAGAATGTACACAGCGTTGCTGACCAAGATCCCATAGACTACATCGAAACAAAACCAAAAAATAAAAATAATAATAATAATTAGTTACTTGAAAGGTAGTTTCATTATTCACGAAAGAGAGAACAAAGAAGGCCGCTTTGCAAATTTGTAAACCTCCTACAAGCAAGATGTATAAAGCCATCCCCATAATAACTAAGGAAATTATAAAGAATAAATTCATTTTTTTTCTCATACTTTATCAGCATCAGTTAGTTTAATATTTATTTGTAATGAAGTTTGATGATGCATTCGACCATTCATGAAATTAGGTGTAGTGTGTGTTCTCACTTTTTTCTTCTCTTTGTTGGTTTATGTGTGTGTACCAGCATGTGCATGGAGAGATGGTACAGGGAGGTACAGGTATCGCGAACCAATTTTACATATCGGTGTGCATATGCACAAACATGCCTGTATGTGTATGTGAGCATGTGCGAGAGAGAGAGAGAGAGAGAGGTACCGAATCATGGAATCTGATGACCCTGATAAACAAAACCTGCAGAAAAATGATAAATGCTTTGTCCATCAGTGCTGTCAACATCAAGTTAACTAGCAGGAAAAGATTAAATTGAAATCAAAAGCAAACTGTTGACATCAATTGGTACTCTTTTACTAGAATAGTTAGTTAGAATTAGGTGTTAACCCTTATCAAACACCCAAAATATGCCAGAGCTAGGAAATAATATTAATATGAATGTTGTTTGAAACTGTACAAATAGCACCCTTGAAACCACCTCTGTTAGAGAGGTATGGTTGCATCTTTCTGTTCGGATTACACACTCCCCTCCTAATTCACATTTTCTCTTATATCTAAAGAACTAACAAAAATCAAACTCCTAACTCTTGCTATGTTTCTCTTTCTAAACACTTAAGTCCTACTCCCTTGCTCCTTGGTTAAATAGGGCCTTAATTTGCTACTTTAAGAATATACATATGTCAAATCAAGTGTATCCAAAGATTTAAATCTCAATCCTCTTACCACGAACGGAAGTTCAAAATAAAATCAATAATAATTTTTAAAAAAATTCAGTTCCAAGCATATGAACCTGCCACTCGAATCAATCAGCAAGGCCCGTATGTTATCAGTATGTCCCCTTAGCTTCATATTCTTTGAACCTGTTCTTGGATCCCAAACACGGACAACCTGTAAGGAATCCCATAGTAAGATGGCTAGGGTCGTACAGAGAACAATTTCCAAGTTACTATAGAACACATCTAAATAAACATAGCAAATTAAAATGTCAACAATTGTCGCATATGTTTGCGTTTTCCCATCCTAACACTAAATAGAGGTTGACATGATGTAGTGTGTGACATGCACGCTAGAGCTTTATGAAAGAAAGAAAAGGACATGATCATGTCCGCAAATTGAAACTCAGTACCTTTTCTGTTCCACCAGAAACAAGTAGACTTCCAGTATCATTCATAGCTAGAGCATAGACAGAGTCTTTATGCCCTTTGGCAGCAACAGGATTATAAGAATGCGGTGGATTGTTATGCACAGGTATGTTGTTGCTTGAATTGACAGTGCGTAAACTTGTCAGAGGCAACCCATTTCCGGAACTACTTAGTCCATTTGAACTTTCATCTTCAGCAGCATCGACAGATTTGGTAACAGGAAGAAGTGCTGCTTCAATGTCCCATATAAAGACCTCCCCACCAAGACCTCCAGATGCAACAATATTACTCTAAAATGAATGAAACTACGAAAGGATCAGAAATCTCCCACACCCACAAAACAAAAAGACATGCAACAAGAGATTCACATGTCCTCAATGCTTCGTATGCAAGTGTGTCCATATGGATGCATATGTATAATTGAACAAAGAAAAGGCAATAAAATCTTTCGGAAAATTACATTTTTTCCAGCTGCAGCCAGGCATATAACATAGTCAGAATGTTGACGAAGGGTTCGTGTACAAGCACCATCAGACAAGCAATTCCACATCTGAACATACAAAGAGAAAATGGTTAATGAACGGAAACTGTTGCAATGAAAAAAGAAATTTGGTAGAGGAAAGCACCTTGACAGTCGTATCTGAAGAGCATGAAACAAGGGTATTGCCGGCAAGTACTGCATCATTAACCTGCATGAGGGAATGCTCAGAAAAGCCAAATACACTAGAAACTAAGATAATTAAGTAAATATTGAAATCTATAAGTGCAGTGGTAATGAAGATGAGCAAAATATTAAATCAAGAGAAAATATACGTAATTCCCAGTGACTTGCCAGGAAATGTTCCTTGCCATCACTTAATGGAGAAAATGAAACCATGAAGCTGACCACAGAAATTTTCAGCAAAAAAGCTGTTCTTTTCTCTGTGCATGTGCACATATATAAAATGTGTGTGAGAACATCATGCAAACACATACAAAGAAAAAATTTGTACAGAAATTGCTATACATCTGACTACAGGTTAACGTGAATGCTTAGAAGAGAGTTCAACTTGTTTTATTCTCTGACTAAGGTCACATTCGTCAAGAAGTTGCCAGATATACAGGGTTGACACTTGTAACCAGGTGGCCAATTCTTTGTGGAACTTCTTCGACTTTAATTAATGTTTTCATACTCAATCCCATTTTGAGGGTACAATGGCTAGCATGACAACATTTTGAGGGTACAATGGCCAATTCTTACTACTAGAAAGGATGAAGAAGAAATTTATTAAACAAATAGAAATTAGATTATAATTCAAGTAGAGAAGTCACTAAGTAATCAGAGCGATTTACAGCTAAAGAATAGCAAGCAATAAAAGATCATAACAAATTCGTGTACAATACATAATTATCAGGAAGATGATGACATACTGAGCATGATTTAGATAATAAAAGTTACTACTAATTTCAGATCTAATATGAAATTGACAAAGGATCATACCCAGTCAACATGCGACTCAAATGTTGCCGAGCAGCTAGCTTCATCATCGGTCAGCAACCACCTTTTCAAGGTTCCATCTCGGCTTCCAGTGAAAAGGTAATTACAGCTGTCAGTAGGTGAATCCTTTAAAATTGTCAGACAATTGACGCCTGCGCAATGCTGAACAACAAATAGCATATGAGACAGAGAGTTCTGTCAAACGTCTGAAAACTTACAACTCAATCTAATAATATAATTATCATAAGAATATACTGAGGGGAATAAAAACAATTACGAAGATGGCTAGAGCACTGTGAAACCTTTGAGTCATCCGCATCATTAAGCACATATGTTAATCGTTTCTCCTTCCGAGGACGTGATGAATTGGATGTGTTGCCAGCACTGCCCACACGGTGCATTGCAAGAGTACCTAATTTTTTTGTTATTTTAGATTATTTCTTTCCAACGTATAAAATACAAGAAGAATGGATAAAATTAAGACCAAATAAAAGAGGAGCAAACCAACAGATGGACGATAGTAAGATCACAAGCAGAAAAGTGACAGAGTTTGCTGGAATTAAAATACCCTTTGCCAGACTCTATTTTGGTCAAGGAAAAGTTTGGACGATTGTAACAATAAAAAGGACTGCTTTGTACTCCAAAAGGAAATTTAAAGGACGCCCAAAAATGTATAGAAAATGACAGAAACAAGAGAGCGTCCAGGAAAGTACAATATCCATTGGATGCCAACTCATTATTGCTTAACATGCAAATAAACACATAATCCTTACATTTTCATAATCTAATTACATATCGACCCTTCCAACAACTAAGATCCAACTTCGTTCATTTTCGGTGATTTCCAAACTGCATAATTACAATATTATTGCATTCATCAAATTCAAGCACAAATAAGGCCAAGCCAACGCCACATAGCTCATAAAATCCACCCACTATGACATGTACACTTCTTAGTTTACAATGCTTAATCACACAATTTGTATATTCAGCAAATTCCACCATAAAAGTGTCCCCTCTTAGCATGTGATTTGCTTGGCTCCTACAAACTGCTACGTATGAAGCATCAAGCATATTCCTTTCAGACCAAATCCCAATCCAGATTTTCTCATGACCCATGTGCCATAGTTTTGTTTCACATTTCCACTAGAAAAAAAATTCAATATCAATATGTTATGGGCAAAATTCCTCTAAGGTTTGTGAAACTACAGAAAATCCTCCTAAGGTTTCAAAAGCATCTCCTTCAATTTCATCAGATGATCTTCAGTTTCAATTTAATCTCCAATTATCAATATAACAGTCACATGCATATGGGAGTTTGTCATACCGTACAATCCATTGGTTTCCATTAAGTCAACTTCAAAGAAATTTAAGCAGGGGCTGTAACTTTACAAACTTTAGAGTATTTCTTTCAAGGCTGCAAGCCTTAGGATTGTAAGTCACTCATGTATCGTCCCATTGCTGATGGAGTAGATCTTATGATTAAGTGTAAGCAGCTCCCATGCAGATGGCACTAGATGCTCAGTTCAGAACCACTCATGCGCATCCCAACAGCCAACGACTCATGTAACTTTAATCGCAATCTTTTCTATATCCACATTAACAGCTGCAACCTTTGCTATCACAACATCTCTCCCTAACTGCCATCGCTGAAGTTACTTATGAACATCTCAGTGATATACACAATAATAAGAACAGAATATAACACAAAGCTCAAAGTCAGAATTTTTATTTGAACTGAAACAATAGGAATTAGCTAGCAATTCTTTCATGTTCTATAAATTAAGTTCATTTTGATCTATTTCTACAAAACTATACAAAGAATTGCACTGAAATGGACATCAATGGCCAAGCAAGAACATAGTGCCAGATTAAACTCTACCGTTGGCTGAATAGCTTTTTGATGAGGACATGCCTGTCATCCCCCTTGCCCCCTTCCCATGCCAGCTGCTCTTTGTTTCTCTCTTTCTCTCACATCAACTTATCAATCTCATATTACAGACTGCAATCGAAATTTATAAGAATCATCTCAATCAACAGTGGCATCTATTCATGTGAAACTTTAAACCCTATTATCTCGCATAGTGACCTACCTCATTGTTTCAAACAATTTGATTACTTCTTTGTCTGATTGAGATTATTCTATTCAATCTTGTAGAATTAATGGTTTTGCTATAAATTTGTTGAGAAATTAACAGCTCTATCATTCCATATAGAGGTTTCTAGGTAATGCTTTGTGAATTGGTATGTTAGGCTGATAAAGATTCAAATTTTGACCTAAAAATTTAGCTGATCAGGAGGTTTTTTCGCATCCACAAGTTGTAGTTTTCTGATAAGCGTTATTGTAAATCTTACTACTCAATTAATCACTCACCTGAATTTTCATCAAGTTACTTCTTTTACTTGGAAAAGGTAATCGGCTAGAATGTTAAGAGTGCCACCCAACCAACACTGACATATTTGTATCTGATTTCAGTTACATTTGGACTTCATTCGCTTCAACGATATTTAGCTTCTCAAATTCAATCAGGAAACTATTCTTTTAAAAAATACTATAACTTTCTCCATTTTTTTCTTTTTCTTTTTCTTTCTTTTTTTTTGGGCAAAAAGAAACCCGTATAATAAATTTCTAGATGCTATGCCCTCTCTCCTCTGATTTTGGTCTCAGAAAAGATACAAGAAACCCGTATAATAAATTTCTAGATGCTATGCCCTCTCTCCTCTGATTTTGGTCTCAGAAAAGATACTGCTTCTAGTTTCAGGCTATCATCAGATGCTATGCCCTCTCTCCTCTGATTTTGGTCTCAGAAAAGATACTGCTTCTAGTTTCAGGCTATCATCAGAATCAAATCATCACACATAACTTTTAAACGCCGAAAAATTGTCGTCAATTGGATAATCTCAAGCTTAGAGCACTTCAACAACTGACGTCATTTGGATTAAGGAACAGCAAAAAAAAATGATATTTTCCCCTAAGAGGAAAAAAAAACCCTAGCGATCTGCCACAAATTCTCTACAAACAGGAATCCAGAACTAACCTACTCAACACGACTTAATTTCACATAAGAAACCCTAAGACAAGACGAATTATGCCAAAAGAAGTAAGTTTTGACAGTGAATCGAGACTTACTTGAGAATCGACAGGATGGGAGGTTGAACGACGCCCTAGGGTTTTCTCTGGTGTCGCGATCGAGCTGCGATGGGGAGATCGGGCCGAGATCGCGCGCGCTAGGGCTTTGGAGGTTCGGATGATGGAGCTGAGGAGAGAGAGAGAGAGAGAGAGAGAGAGAGAGAGAGAGCTGGGGGGGTCGTTGGACGAAGATACTGCTACCAATTTGGGATACTAAAATTACATTTTCAACCCTGGAATTTGGCCTAATTAATTCCAGACCCCTGGCTTCATTTTTAGGTTAATTTCACCAAACCCCTCCTCAACTTTGATCAGTTTTGCACGCACCCCTCGACCTCTTTACCTCGCAATCCCCTGAGGGCATGTTTGGATTTCAATGAGATTAAGTGAAGTTAAGGGAAATTAGGAGAGAGGAGAAAATAAAAAGGAGTTACGTTCCCTTTGGTTATACCCCAGTTTGGGGGTAGTAAATTTTATCTTATTAGAAGAGTTTGAATTAAGGGGAAGTAGAGTAAATAATTTCACCTCTTAAATATTTCCAAACATGGCGAATGGCTCCCCTATCTTCCCTTCTTCCTTATCCCCCTCAATCCAAACAAGCGCTAAACTTTGGAGCGTCTCACAAAATCCCTTTGAACTTTAAACTTTTCTCATCAGACCTCTTATATGTCAATGATCACCGACAAATAATTAAAATTTCCTTGTGAGAGTAAAAATCTCCAATTGGGATAGAGGGGTACTTTTTTTGTAAATGGCAAATAACAAAAGTTGAGGTTATGTCTCTAGAGGATATTTTAGTTAATTGCCAATTACGTGTAAGGGTCTCACGAGAAAAGTTTAAAGTCTGTATGGGTTTATGGAAAACCTAAAAAAAACAGTTCCAAATGTTAAAATTTTGGTTCGGTCCTCACTTAAAAAATTTAACAGAACAAATTTGTAGGTACCGAGTGTAAAACATTTTTGTTATATGACATCCATATGAATTTTCTTTTACATTTTCTCACTTTTAGAAGGTTCCTTTGTTTGGCATTTTTCTCCCATTTGCATCTTTGAAGCGAAGCACCTGACTCCCCCTCCGGTGAGATTACCCCCTTCACTTTCTCTAGCTTGACAGGGCCGCTATTCGGATGAGCATGACAAATGTAGAGTTTATGTGAAATCCAACTAAGTTATGATTATTTCTCTTGGGTCCTTACGCATTAAGCAATTGTATGAAATTTTCTCTTTTCTATTTAAGAAAATGTGAAGAGTAAAGATCAAAGATCGAGGAGTTGAAATTTGAGCGCTGACTTTTGAATTTTAGACTTTTCTACTATCAAATTTTGTTTTCCTTTGTCTTTTAGCTTGTAGTCAAACTTGAAGACTTTTCATCCGCAATCTTTTTGAATTTAGGGGCTGTTTGGATGCCTTTAGGAAACTAGAGTATTTATTACACAAAATAGAAAGTGGTTATTCACCTCACCAATTTTCATTCGAGTGTTTACATTGTTTGGTTAGGAATCTTTGTGAATCCTAAAATAATAGTATTACATTGTTTGGATAGTTAATGTAAACCAGAGTATTTATGACATAAAATGAAAAGTGGTTATCCACCTCACAACTTTCTACAATGTTTTGACTTTTTTATTATTTTTTTGGACATATTTATGACATTGTGTAAGCTTTCCAACAAAATTACTCCTAGGGGCTGTTTGGTTCCTTTTTTTTGGGTGGTAAAAGTGAGGAAAGCTGCCAAAAAATGTCAGCTTTTTGGCAGCTTTCCCCCAAAATCACCCCTTAAAAAGGTGATTTTGGGGGAAAGCTTTCAAAAAATTGACATTTTTGGCAGCTTTCTCCTCTTTTACCACCCAAAAAACCTTATCCAAACATCCCCTAATTTTGGTGATTTTGCTTTCGGTGATACCTCATTAAAAGTTGTAAGCTTTTCATATAAAAGAGATTTTAAACAAACAATGTAAAGTGATGAAAGATGACATTGGGACCCACTTTTTTATACTTTCCATCATTTTACATGGTAAAAACATACAACCAAACAGCCCCTTATGGCTTTTGGAGACTGAAAAGTACACATAAGAAGTACCGGTTGATGTATATTAGAATTTTTCTGTCAAAGTACAATGTTTAAAAAATAGATCAAAAAACAGTTTAAGTAAAAAAAAATATATCTTATGAAATAAGTAGTGCCATGCAATTACAAGTTTAAAAGCTTCTGCAGCAAACGAGGGGGTCTAAATACGTCTTCATCGCCCCAAAATCCGCATGTCGATAGTCGATCTACATATATGATAACCCTCGTGATAATTATGCGATGCATGTCGACCTGCAGCTTGTATCGATGAATCTCTTACATCTCAGCTAATTATGATTTTCAAGAGATAAGCTCATAATAAATCACAGACGACAATTAAAAGAAACTCCCTCAATTAGGAGAAAATTCAAATTATGTGCCCCAAATTAATGAAATCACTCATTTTATTTATTTCTATGCTACAGTAACATTTTACTGTATCAACATGAGACTTTGCGCGGTAGGTTTTTTGGGAAAAAATATTATTCTAACACACGGGAATATTGTAGCAGAAGCACAATAATGTATCAATTTAAAAATTTAAAAATATTATTATAACAGTTAAAACCAAAATTACTATAACGGAGAAGGAAATATGTTGTGATTTGCACGATGTTGACACTAGTACTTTGTAATAGGAAAAACTCATGCTATAGAAACCAACAAAGTGACTTCATGGGGCCCTAAATTTAAGAAAAAAAATATCAGACAACATCAAGCCCACTATGACCCAACCAAAAAACCTTAAACCACTAGAGGACAACATGCAAGCCCACCTATCCTCTTTTGGTAATGCTTGGCAAAATGCTAAAAAGCTCACACGTGACACCATCCGCATATTGACCAAACTTAGCTTTCATTATTGGAAATATAATTCGCAATATGGTTTCCATAAGAGCCTATGCCACCCCACTCACTCTTCTAGAATCCAACTGGTGGCGCCTTTCTACAATCCTTAATGATGAATAGGAAAAATAAGAAACTTTTTTTGTTACACATGCCACCATGGTCCATGAAGATGTGCTTCGTGCATGACATTATATAGACGTATGCATAATCAAAAAATAAATCAACACTTTAATCATATCATACTCCCTTTAAAAGAGAGAGTTGTAGGAAAAAATTTTACGGACTATAGTATCACTATTCTTTTTTTATATTATACTGTAATCATATATTAACTAAATTAATTATCATTATTAATTAATTATATTACATGCCACTTCAATTTTATCTAACTTAGCCCTAAACTTCCAATGTTATTGTAAAACTCTTGTACTAATTATGAATAATGCATAATACTATATTAATAGATAATTGTAAGTTAATAAATTATTTTGGAAGGGGTAGAAAATATAGAACTGTCCTAAAATTATATCATGACACTCACATAGAAAAATTATAAAGAGTATTCTTACGTACATAAGTACAATCATGTAATTTTATAAAACATTGGATATTTAAGTGCATTAAGATATAAGTGCGGGTATATGAGTGTAACTTTCGTAAGCTATTATGTATTTAAGTTTAATTAAGCCTATAAAGATTTGAAGCCTTTGTTAACCAGAAGCAATAGTATGTGATTCCTTTGAAAATAATATCCATCGTATAATATGAGGCCATAGGCTTAGCTTATATTTATATAGTACAAAAGATGTGGAAAAAATTAAGCTTCATATTTTGAATAAGTCTCAATATTTTGAATTATAAATGAAATTATATACTTCGCTTAGAATCATACTCCCTTTAAAAGAGGAAGTTGTAGAAAAACTTTCTGTGGACTATATTACTCCTATTTTTTAAATATTATATTTTAATCCTAACTAAACTAAATTAATTATTATTATTAATTAATTATATTATCACTTCAAGTTTGTCTAACTTGGTCCCTAAAACTTCCAATGTTATTGTAAAACTTTCATGTTAATTATTAGTAATGTCTAATAATATATTAATAGACAATTATATGTTAATAAATTATTAATAGAAAAGTAGAAAATATAGAATTATCCTAAAATTATACCATTATATTCATATACGAAAATTAAAAATATTATTTTTGCGTATAGAAGGTACAGACATATAATTTTAAAAAATATTAGGATATTTAAGTGCAACAAGATACAAGTGGAGGTATGTAATTAAAACTTTTATAAAGTGTAAGGTATTTAATTTAATTAAGCCGATAATGATTTAAAGACTTTGTTAGCCAATATTATGTGACCCATTTGATAAATAATATTCATCATATAATATGAGACCAGAGGGTTACCTTATATTTATATGCTAGAGGAGATGTGGAAAAAATAAAGCATCATATGTTGAATAATCTTAAGATTTTAAATTATTTCTAAATTTATATACTTTGTTTGGAAAACTTTAGAAGATGATTTCAAAGGACTACTACAAAGTGTTGGGCATCATATAAATGCTAGACAAATAAAATCCATGGATATTAGATTGCAATAATCGGGGTTATATAAAATATATCTGTGGGTCATATAAGATAATTGTTTGCGTCGAAAATTGATGTATTCATTGCGGTATTCATTACAACTTCGGTCGTTACAATGAAAACAAAAAGATAATCTTTTTATAAGATCTTTACACAATGAAAACAAAAGTTACAACTCTCGTCAAAACAAACGCAGAGATCGTTTATCGGTCTTCTGCTTGCGTGGGATCTTTGCCTGTGCCGGGGTTTATCCGTGGACCACCTTAGATCTGGATCCGGTTGATGAAAAATTCGGCAGAGCTTCGCCTTCGCCGAGGAAGTATTTGATTTGAAGCGCTGAAATCGACCAAGCGAAATCAGGGCTCTTCTCGAGATTAAGACCAAGCCTAATCTCAAGGGACGGACGGGAACGGGCGTCGGATCTCTCGAACTCTCCTTCTTTATGCCGAAGAACTCGCCAATATCTGTCAACCCTCGCTGAAATTCGTGCTCCTTTGACTCCACAATCCGGCAGCACCTCCTCGTCTTGATAATCAATCGCCCCCCCTGAAAGGAGGCCCTAGGCTTGTATTTATAGGGCTTCAGAAGCGGTTATTTGGATGAGAACAAGTGATCTGGCTCTATCTTCAGTTGA